TGCTGGATGGTAACTTCTGGGAGTTGGTCCACAAGTGTTAAAGTTGCCAAGGTTGGACACCCCTGGTTTACAGAATTGGTCCTTAGGCCGGTGCCCAAAGTCTTCCCCAAATCACAAAGCAGGCAATAGGCTGGCTGGACTGACCTCCAAGGTCCCTTCCAGATTCTGTTCTATTCTATTCTATTCTATTCTATCCTATTCCTATTCTATTTTCTCTTCTATATTCTCTTCTCTTCTATATTCTCTTCTATTCTATATTCTCTTCTCTCCTCTCCTCTTCTATTTTCTATTATCTCTTCTCTTCTATATTCTCTTCTCTTCTCTTCTATTCTGTAATTCTATTTTCTCTTCTCTTCTCTTCTCTTCTCTTCTCTATTCTCTTCTCTTCTATATCCTCTTCTCTTCTCTTCTGTAATTCTATTTTCTATTTTCTATTCTCTTCTCTTCTCTCCTCTCTTCTCTTCTATATTCTGTTCTCTTCTCTTCTTTTCTATTCTATAGTGACTCACCAGCAGACGGAGATGAAGGCAGCTCTCGAATGGAGTTGAGGAGCTTCTTCAGGTGCGGAGAACGGACTCAGCCATGCAAGGAAGAAGATGATTTATCCAGCTTTCGTGGGGACTCCAAGGACACACCTGTCTCCTCTTCCTTCAGACCGAAATTGGCAAGAGAGGCCCAGCTCCCTCTGCCCCAGAAGCTGGCTGTTTTCAACTTCATGTCCGCTGGTGGGTATTCCCCCCACCCCACCCCCAAGGACAGAAGACTCCCCAGTGCCAGTTAGAGGCTGCTTGCATGGTCGCCCAGGAAGGGTTTCAAGAGGGCATCTGCTTCCTATGGGGGGGAGACAGCCCTCTCCACTGGCTGCCCCTCCATCCTCAAGAGCTTCTTCAGGACAAACTCTGATGGGGAGACGACTCGGTCCGTTTCACCTGGGTGACCTCGGGGAGAAAGTGCTCGGTGGCCCCAGACTTCTTCTAGATGACTTGTGGATGGGACAGGCAATCGTGGAAGGGGGCAATCTTGGGCCAGGACAAAAGACAAAAAGGAAACTCAGGGGAAGACACCCCCCCCCAGGGAATTCTGCTCACTCAGGTGGCCTCAGACCTAGGGAATGCCAGCCAGGTGCTTTGGCCCAGCCTAAGAAGTGGGCTTCTTCATGAGTCTGAATGAGCATTTTCTTTCTTTCTTTTTCTTTCTTTCTTTTTCTTTCTTTCTTTCTTTCTTTCTTTCTTTCTTTCTTTCTTTCTTTCTTCCTTCCTTCCTTCCTCTTTCCTTCCTTCCTTCCTTCCTTCCTTCCTTCCTTCTTTCTTTCTTTCTTTCTTTCTTAAATTGTATATAGCTGCCCATTCACTAAAAGCAATTCTGGGCAATGCACAAAAATTAAAAATAAATAAAAAGAATATATTTATATTTATATATCCATATTCCTGTCTATCTTAGCTCTTAGTTCCAGTTCTAGTAGTTTTTAATAATATTGTAATCAGCATAATTTTAATACTGTAATTATTTCTTTTTATAAATTGTAACCTTCCCAGAGTCACCTTCTAAGGATGATGGGCGGCATAAAAATTTAATAAATAAAATAAACATTAATCAATATCTTCTTCTTGTGCCATATCCGTTATCGGATGTTGGCGATCTTGCTTTTATTAGCAGCCGCACAAAAAAGTCCTGCTGAGTTTTGTCCAAACCAGTCCCTGAGATTTTGAAGCCACGATGTTCTTCTTCTGCCTGGACCTCGTTGGCCTTCAATCTTTCCCTGGAGGATTAAATGGAATATGCCGTATTTTTCTGGGTGTCGCATCACATGTCCAAAATATTCTAATTTTTGTTTTTAATTGTTTTGACGATTTCCCTTGGCTTTCCCAGGCGGCTTATCACCCCCTCATTTCTGATCTTGTCAACCCAGCTTCTACGTAACAGCCGCCTGTCAATCCACATTTCAAATGCTTCTCGTCTCTTCAGGTGGCCTTCTGTCAGAGACCGACTCTCTACTCCATGGAGCAGGATAGAAAAAACATAGCATGTGACAAGCCTGATTTTCAGTCTTAGGCTTATGTCGTGAATTAATCAATATAAAAGAAAGCAAAGTTGCAGACCCCAGGCGAAGAGAGGGGAAGACTGGCCCCTTCCACAGTGGAACCACCTAAGCAAGTCTCTGGTTCCCGATCCCCAACTTTCCCCGGTGCCCTGGTGGCAAGGAGGGTCCACGGGCCCACCTTCCTTTGGTGGGACTGGTTGAGCCACGCGAGGAGGAGGAGGAGAACTGGCCTATTGCTCATCAGGCACCTCTGGGTTTGGCTTCCCCTCGTTGTGTTTGATGAAGGAAAGGGAGGGAGGCAGCCCAATTTCACAGACCCCCCCTCCAATTCCAAAACTGGAAGCAGCAGCGACCTCCAGGAACCAAGAGGACGCCGTATGTGTGAAACGCATGCAGGAACTCTTGTTGTGCAAAGATTGTGCAGCTGCACTCCAGTGTCCGATGCAACCACATAAGTCTCAGTATTTCTGGGCTCACGTCATCCGTGGGCATTGTAACATTCATTTTTTAAAATTTTAATTGATCTATTTAGAGTCCATTTTTATTGTTTTTTTGTAAACGACTCAAGGCAGCAGAGATATTTATTACTTTTATTTTTCCCAGAACATCCCTGAGGTGGGTTGGGAGGAGAGAGAGACTTGACCAAAGTCACCCAGTCAGCTTTCAAGCCTAAGGTGGGACTAGAACTCCCCGTCTCCTGGTGATGGGCCCAAAGTGCATCAGCAGCAAAATTGCCAGTCTTGAATACTGGAGAACATGCCTGGGTGCTCTTTTGCGTGACTTCTTCTTGCAAGTACTTGTAAGGAATCTATGGCATCCCTCCTCCTCCCCCCCCCCCCATCTGCTCAGCTCTCTCTGCCTCTGCAGGAGAATTTCTAGCTGACTGGCCATCTGGACAGAGCTGGACCGAAGCCCTTCTGGGGTCTCTACCTCAGGGGTTCCCAACCAGAGATGCAAGACAATATTCCAGGGGGTGCGAAAACTTGGGTTTTCAAAATTGTAGTGTATATGCATAATTTGTTGCTGTCATTTCAAACTTTTGTGAGGGGTGCGAGAATATATCAGGAGCGTTCTAGGGGTGTGGGGTATAGAAAAGGTTGGGAATGGCTGGCGGCCGCCGGCTGTCCCAGGTCAAGCTGTCCATCGGGGGTCCCTGCAGTCGCCTCTTCCCCAGACAGCGACCGGGACCCCCTCCTGCCTCCCCACTTACCTCTCTCGGCAACGTCTGGAGCCGACCAACCCTCCATTTTGGAGAGGAAAGAGGAGCAACCGGCAGTAGGGCAGGCAGGCTTAGGTGGGGATTGACCCTCATGGTGGCAAAGAGCCCACCCTGGTCCACATGGCCCGTAAGAGCCAAGCCTGGCCCGATGGCTGGCTGCCGGTCAAGCGCCCCCTTAAATCACAGCCCCAACCCCCCACCTTCCCAACCGACACAGGCTGGGTTTGCAGGGGATCGAGATACAGGCGGTCCCCGACTTACGATCGCAATTGGGCTCAAAATTAATCTTGCAAGGTGAGACACTTGTTAAGTGAGTTTTGCCCCATTTTATGACTTTTCTTGCCACGTTTGTTAAGTGAACCACTGCAGTTGTTAAGCGAGTAACAGGGTTGTTAAGTGAATCTGCCTTCCCCCGTTGACTTGGCTTGTCAGGTGACAAAAGAGGGTCATGTGACCCCTGGAACACGGCAACCGTCATAAATGTGAGTCAGTTTCATGAGCCAAATTGGGGAAACCTTCAGTGCTGGTGTGAAAAATGGTCATAAGTCACAACAGTTTAGTCCCTCCTTAGGCCTGAAACAACTGCATTACTAATTCAACAACTGCAGCGATTCTCTTAGCAACAGTGGCAAGATTGTAAAATGGGGCAAAACACACTTAGCAACGGAAATCTGGGGCTCCACTGTGGTCGTAAGCCAAGGACTCCCTGTAAAAACCTGGCTGGTGTGTCCGTCTGTCGCCAGCTTCCTAAAAGCAAACCTTGTGCCATTTTGGGAAAAATAAAAGAGGCCTCAGCACCCTCCCCCCACCGGCCTTCTTCGACCCCCCCCCCCAACTGCAGCTTTCCAGGGCACTGGAGGGGGGGGGACTTGGGGAGGGCAGGGCCCAGAAGGAGCACCCCCCCTCCCTTCTGGGCAGGGATGGCATCAGCCGAGGTGGGGAGGGGGCAGGAGGGGCCCCCGCTGGCTCACAGTGACCCCAAGAAGCCATTCGGACCTTGAAGAAGACAACACACTTTATTATAAAATGCAAAAACCGTTAAGGAAATGGTGTCGTTGGACCTAATGGAAGAGGGTAAATATAAAGCCACGTAAAAAAAGGCTTGGAAAGGAAGGAAGGATTCCCCGGATAAAGAAAGCAGCCAGCGTTCGTCCAGGGGGGGGGTTTCTGTTCCCCCACCCACCCACCCACCCCCCGGGCTGTGAAGGACCGAGGGCCGCTCTAACCGCCCGCCACCCTCTCCCCGGCACCCAGAGGCAGCCAAGAGAAGCAGGAGGCGCCCTGGGGCTGGGGGAGGCTGAGGCCGCCAGAGGAGGGAGACTGGCATCGGGTGGCACAACAGGAGCAGCGCTTTGGGCACAAAAGGGCCAGGCCGGTCAGCCTCCTGTCCAGGGAAGCCACCTAGCAGCCGGCCAGGACAACCCTGGATAACGGAGAGCAGCTCCCAGCCAGCCACGCCGCCCTCCTGCGGATCCGGAAAGGGGGCAGCAGATCTGGCAGGGGGAGAAGGAACCGGGGGAGAGGCAGGACAAGCAAGGAAACGGGGAAACCCTCCCTGCCCCAGACACAACGTACACCCTGTGAAATGGAGGGGGGCACCCATAGAGATTCTGCAGGAGACCAAAAAACACGGGGACCCCGGGAGGTGGGGCTCCTGCCCCCTGCAGCACGTCCCTACGCCGGGTCTCCCCTTTCCCGGGGCAGGACTGGAGCGGCTGAACCGGCTGGTCGAAGGCGCCGTCACTTCTGGCTGCCCACTCGGTTGCAGAGGTGGGACAGTTGACTCTGGAAGGAGAGGAACCGAGGCTGGGGGTCAGAAGGACCCCACCCCAGAGGAAACACTCCAAGTGGCCTTCCCCAGACCCCCCCCCCAGGGCTGAAAGGTGCCCTCCCTCTGCCTTCGGACTCCTCCCGGGAGGAGCCAGGATGGAAAGCTGTGCTGTGGGGAGAACAGGGATGCAGCCTCGGCCCACTCAGGGAGGAGACATCCCAACAAAGGCCTCCTCTCCTCCCCCCCAAGTCTTCCTCCCCCCAGCAGAGCTGCCCCCCACCTGCCAACCCAGAGGCCAAAGAGACGCAACCGCCTTTTCTGGCTCTCCCGACTCAGCCTCGCACCTGATTCCTTCCTAGCTTCTCCAGGACCCCCAAAGTGGAGTCGGCCCCAGCCCTGCGAGTCCCTGTGGCTGCCCCCTTTGATTTCTGCTGTTATTTTATGACTCCATGGATGTTTTGGCCTCTGCTCACACCCGGAGAGGCCTCTGCAAGAGGGCTGGCTGTCCAGAGTTGGGGTGAATCCCCCCTAGGGGGTGCTTGGGAACGAAGAGGCCAGCCCTCCCTCCAGGGGGACCCCCGGCATTCGGGAAGGCTGGTCGACCCGGACCAGGTTCCAAGGAGCCCAGGAAGGGGGAGGCCGCTGGCTCCCCAGGAACGACGGAGGAAAAGAGCCAGACCTACCGACAGCTTCTTCACGCTGCCCAGGGCCTGGGCGTTCAGCCCCCGCAGGTCCTTCTCCGAGAGCTCGCTGGCCCTGATCCGGATGCTCTGTGCAGAGGGCAAAGGGAGTAGGAGCCAGGCTTAGGGGGGGGGGCTTTTCTGGGGGTGAAAGAAGCCCACCAATCCCCCCAATTCATGCAGGAACCGCCAGGACCCCCGGCCCGTGTTGAGAAACAGAAGCCCCCAAAGTCTCCCCCGTCCTGGAGAGGGGCGAGAGGGCAAAGCGGCTCCCCACTGGGCGAAGGGGGCTTCCACGCCGCCCCCCCCAGCGCCCGAAGGCCCTTACCTCTCCTCCGCCCAGGGGCACCACGAGGAAGACCTCGCTCTTGTCTGCCAGGGGGCTGCCGTTCACCGAGATGCTGAAGACCCGCTCGTGGGCGGCAGGGGCCCGCAGGCCGGGCGTCTTGAAAACGCTGCGGGCAGAAGCGGCAGGAGATCAGGCGGCCGCCCCCCCCCCAGAGCTTCCACCAGCCCCGCCCCGGAGGCCGCCCGAGGGGCCTGCCTGGCGGAGGGGGGGGGCTCACCTGGAGTCAAACTTGCCAGCAGGTGTGAGCAGAGGAGTGGCAGCTTTTGTGGGGGTCCCTCGGCCAGCTGGAGTGATGGGGTTCACTTTGCTGGGCCTGCTAAAATACAGCAGCAGCGGCCGCCGCCAGGTCAGTGGCCCGTTTGGGACTTCAAGCCGGCTGCTCTAGACTGGAATTCTTGGCCTGAAGGGACCTTGAGGGCATCAAGACCACCCCCTTGCTCAGCACACCATTCCAGTCAAGGGACAAGCCATGGAAGATACGCCCCCCCCACCTGCCTAGACCTCTAGCCTCATGAACAGGGGACTCCTGTGATTTAAATCACCAATTCCGTCCTCCCCTCTGGAAGAAAAGGGATCACGGCAGCCATCTTAGTGCTGGGAGGCACCTTGGGGGGGGGAGGGGTCTTCTCTCCCGACTCTGCTCCGCCCACCCCCCGAGAAATGCCTGCCCAGACTCTTCTGGAGACCCTCCAGGCGTGGAGGAGTCGCAGCTGCCTGTCCCCTTGCATAAGGGCTCCCCAGTCAGGAAATTCCTCTCCGGTTCCAGCCTGGATCTCTGGGTGTCCAAGCGTGGCAACTGGAAGACCTGCAGCTGACGTGGCCGGCTGGGGGATTCTGGGAGTTGAAGTCCACAAGTCTTCAGGTTGCCAGGCCTTAAAGCTTCTCCCTGCTGGCTCTTGTCTGACTGCCCCCCTCCTCCCTCACCCCTTCTTGCTATCATCCCCCTTAGCCTCCCCTCCATTAAGCCAGGAATTCCTTTTTGTGGGATTTCGCCCCCAAGCCCCTCCCCAGCTCCCTTGTTCTGCCCTGCACTCTCTCTCTCCAGCTCCTCAGCCCTTTTGCATTGTGGGGACCAGAGGGGGGGGGGGGAGGAACATCTCGTGGGGGGGTTCTGACCAGGGCAGCGTAAAGCAGCACTAACCCTTCCCCTATTCCCCCCACTCAGGCAGCCCAGGATTGCACCGTCTTTTTAGGCAGCTGCAGCACACTGCGCCCCTGGGGTCTTCCAGGACCCCCAGATCTCCCTCCCAAGCACCTTCTTCTACCTGACACCTCTTGAGGCATTTCAAGAGTGCCGTGGTGTCCCCCCTCGGGGGTCTCTCTGAAGGACAACCCACCCGGTGGGTCCTTCGCCCTCCCCCCTCCACAGGGCTTGGCTCAACCCGTTTCAGTCTCCGACAGAGGAGAATGCTTATAGCTCAGGGTCGCACTGTGGGTTCCTTGGTGGTCCCTGAGCTGGGCTGCTGACCGCTTGCTGCCCGTTACCTTTTGCGGAAATGCTTGGATCGGGATGAAGGGGGCCGGGCCCGCTTGGAAGTCGGAGGCCTTTTGCTTGAGGTCTGCACCTGGAACGCAGAAGGGGGTGTGACTCGGCCTGCCTTCAGCCACAGGCCCTTTGCTGTGTGAGCAGGGCATTCACTTTTGAGATAGTAGGTCACCGGTCCATCTGCCCACCCACCCACCCACCCATTTCATTCATTCAGAATAGAACAAGAAGAGGCCTCGGAGGTCTTCTAGTCCAGCCCCCTGCTCAGGCAGGAGACTCAGGGGTAGGCAACCTTGGCCCTTTTATGACTGGTGGACTTCAACTCCCAGAATTCCTGAGCCAGCCATGCTGAGGGGAAAGGGAGAGGTTTCCAAGCTGAGCCGTGCTGGCTGAGGAATTCTGGGAGTTGAAGTCCACAAGTCATAAAAGAGCCAAGGTTGCCTACCCCTGCTCTATACCATTTCAGACAAATGGTGGTCCAAGCTCTTCTCGAAAACCCACAACTTCTGGAGGCGGGCAGTTCCACTGGTTAATTGTTCTGACTGTCAGGAAGTTTCTCCTTAGTTCCAGGTTGCTTCTCTCCTGGATGAGTTTCCGTCCGTTGCTTCTCGTCCTGCCCTCAAGTGCTTTGGAATACAGCTTGACTCCCTCTCCTTTGGGGCAGCCCCTCAAATCCTGGAAGACTGCTATCCTGTCCCCCCTCGTCCTCCTTTTCTCTAGAACAGCCGTACCCAAATCCTGCAACCGTTCTTCATTTTTCATCCTTTTACTGCTTTATTGCCTATTAAGGCCCTGTTGCTGGGACTTGGCAGAGAAAGATCCGTTCTCAGACAGAACCTTCCGGGCTTCGGGTGCAGCCCCCCACCCCCACCCCGAGGGCTGCATGCAGACAGAAGAAGCACTCAACAGGCAGGGGTCTTGGGGGGGGCGCAAGAGGGCCAAGGCAGAGGCCTTCGGAAGGACAGAGAGAAACGTATACCTTTCCTGGCTTCTGGTGTGCCACATCCGGATCAGCCTGGTCCTCCTGCTTGGACTTCTTGACCGCAGGCAGCAGAGACGTCTCCATCTCTTCGTCGATGGTCTCAATGGCCTGCTTGGCTGCGGGGGGGACACAAACTCTTGGAGGAAGGGGGGCGAGACAGGCAGGCTGGTGGGGGCAGCTGTGAAATGCTCGCTTCTCAGCCGGCTCCGTCACGGCTTCTAGGTCAGGGGTAGGCAACCTTGGCTCTTTTATGACTGGTGGACTTCAACTCCCAGAATTCCTCAGCCAGCATGGAGGAAACTATAGCCCCTTCATTTATTTATTTATTTATTTATTTATTTGATTTATATCCCGCCCTTCTCCCAACGGGACTCAGGGCGGCTCACAACATATTTAAAAACAAAAACGTATTTACAATCCCCACCAAATAAAACTAATTAAAACCAAATATTTTAAAGTTGTGCTGTTTAAAATTTTTTCCTTAAAATAAACCCGATTTAAAATCCTCCCTAGGCCAGGCCCGCTTGCTGGAAGAGCCATGTCTTGAGGGCGCGGCGGAAAGTAAGGAGATCCGGAATCATCCGGATCTCGGGGGGCAGTTCGTTCCAGAGGGTGGGGGCACCCACAGAGAAGGCCCTCCCCCTGGGGGTCGCCAGCCGACATTGCTTGGCCGACGGCACCCTGAGGAGACCCACTCTGTGGGAGCGTACCGGTCTATGGGAGGGGATCTGCGGCAGAAGGCGGTCTCGGAGATATCCAGGTCCGATGCCATGGAGCGCTTTAAAGGTGGTAACTAACACCTTAAAGCGCACCCGGAAGGCCACTGGTAACCAGTGCAGCTCGCGCAGCAGCGGTGTTACGTGGGAGCGACGAGTCCCTCCCAACACCGCCCGCGCGGCCGCATTCTGGACCATTTGAAGCCTCCGGGTGCTCCTCAAAGGGAGCCCCATGTAGAGAGCATTACAGTAGTCCAGGCGAGAGGTGACGAGAGCATGAGTGACTGTGCGCAAGGCGTCCCGGTCCAGAAAAGGTCGCAACTGGTGGATCAGGCGGACCTGATAAAACGCCCCCCTGGTCACGGCCGACAAATGGTCTTCCAATGTCAGCCGTGGATCCAGGAGGACACCCAAGTTGCGCGCCCTCTCTGAGGGGGCCAAAGTTTCGCCCCCTATAGTCAGCGATGGCGTCAGCTGACTATGCCGAGGCGCTGGCATCCACAGCCACTCAGTCTTGGAAGGGTTGAGTCTGAGTCTGTTCCTCCCCATCCAGACCCTTACGGCCTCCAGGCAACGGGCCATCACGTCAAGGGCATCGTTGGGGTGGCCTGGGGTGGAAATGTACAGCTGAGTGTCATCAGCGTACTGATGGAAATCCACCCCAAAGCCACGGATGATCTCCCCCAGCGGCTTTACATAAATATTGAACAAAAGGGGAGAGAGGACCGACCCCTGAGGCACCCCACAAGTTAGGGGTNCCAGGGAAGGCTTCTTGAGGAGGGGCCTCACAACGGCCTCCTTAAGGGCCGCAGGGAAGACACCCTCCTGCAAAGAAGCGTTAATAATTCCCTGGAGCCAGGCTCGTGTACCCTCCCGAGCTGCCAGTACCAGCCAGGAGGGACACGGATCTAACAAACATGTGGTTGCATTCAGCCTCCCCAAGACCCTGTCCACGTCATGACTCCTGGACTTCAACTCCCAGAATTCCTGAGCCAGCCATGCTGAGGGGAAAGGGAGAGGTTTCCAAGCTGAGCCATGCTGGCTGAGGAATTCTGGGAATTGAAGTCCACGAGTTATGAAGGGGCCAAAGTTTTCCCCCATGCTGACTGAGGAATTCTGGGAGTTGAAGTCCTCGAGTCATGAAGGGGCCATAGTTCTCCCCATGCTGGCTCAGGAATTCTGGGAGTTGAAGTCCACAAGTCATGAAGGGGCCAAGGTTGCCTACCCTTGAGTTAGGGCAACATGAGCGACCACTTTTCTTTTTATTAAGACAAAGCAAGCGGTCCTCGGCTTACAACTGTTCATTGGGCGACCATTTGAAGTTCAAAAGCACTGGAAAAAAGTGACTAGTGGCTGTTTTTCACTCTTACAACCGTCGCAGCATCCCCAGGGTCACGTGATCAAAATCTGGATGCTTGGCAACGGGCTCATATTTATGACGGTCGCAGCGTCCCAGCGGGGCCACATGATCCCCTTTTGCGACCGCCTGGCCAGCAAAGTCAATGGGGACTATGTTGCTAAGAATTGCAGGGATCCCCTTAACGACCGTGGCAAGAAAAGTCGTAAAGTGGGGCAACTGTCTGGGCTCAGCTGTGGTTCCAACTCCTTCTTGAAGGAAATAAAAGTTATTCTTTTAACAAATGTAGAAATGTAATGCCATTATATGAAACTGCCTCTTTAGCACAAATGTAACACTGTGACGCAAATGTAGCAATGCACTGCCAAATGTGTGGGAAGGTTTGTTTACTGTTTCCTGCCCATGTAAAGTGACCACAAATGGTAATCAGCAAAGATAATTAATTATGACCTAATGTTTACTGTTTCCTGCCTAAAATTCCTCCGGGAGATAGGAACTTACACTTTAAGTGGAATATCAAAAAGGGGGGATTTTGACCCAAGGTGAAAATTACAAATAAACAAGATAACAGCAGATGGACGGAAGAGTCCAGGATGACCTTTTAAGTGTAAAAACAACTTCAAAGAATGACTATAGAGTTGAAAGAGCTTCTTAGATGTGACACGCATTGTAAAAAAGTATAAAATGAAAAGCTTGAAATCTGCCCTTTGCGCTCTTGGAACTCAATCCATTTAAGGAAGAATTTAGGAGGCCGTAATTGCAAACGCTTTTCTTTTCTTATTATCATTTTTATGTTTTTCTTCAATAAAAACTTTGTATTGTTAATCAGACTTGTCTTCGTATTGTATCAAAATTTGGGGGTTCTTACATCTCACATTCTCGAGCATCGTAAGAGTGGAAGGAGGGGAAGTAAAGTGAAGTTTCTTAATTACAAATGCTGATGTTTGAACATCGTTCAGTGAGGTTTGCCCCATTTTACGACCTTTCTTGCCAGTTGTTAAGTGAATCGCTGCAGTTGTCAAGCTGATAACACGGTCGTTAAGCGAATCGGGCTTCCCCATTGACTCTACCTGCCAGGTCACAAAAGGGGATCACGTGACACCCCACCCCCCACCCCGATGCTGCGACTGTCATGAGTATGAGTCAGTTGCCAAGCGTGTGAATGTCAATCCCATGACCACGGGGAAGCTGCAGCGGTCATAAGTGAGGGGAAAAAAAGAGCACTTTTTTCAGTGCTCTTGTAACATGGAATGGTTACTACGCGATCCGTTGCAAGTCGAGGACTGCTGTGTTGGTTGGAAACAGGCAGAAGAGGCCGCAACCTGCAGGGGACAGACCCTGGATGGGATTTATTTTATTTTATTTATTTATCAAATTTGTACCCCGCCCTTCTCCTAGCGGACTCAGGGCGGCTTACAGCCAGTTAAAACAGATAACAATATAATAATACTAAATTTAAAATGTAATTAAAATGAAATATTATTGGCCGTTTCTTTTTAAAATTATTTAAATGGTGGGATGGTGGGTGATGCAAGGCTGCACCATTTTTCTCCCCCTTCCTTCCCTGAAGTGTGTAAACCTGAGGGCCCGGTGTGTCTGCGGGGGGGGGGCTCGCCTTGTTTCCTCTTGGGCAATTCCCCCCCAGGGGTGGACTCAATAAACGCTGCTGCAGGGAGCCTGGATTAGCGGCTTTGGAGTCCCGCACTTCATTTTCACAGTGGGGGACCGTGAGAGCATCAGGCGGGCCCTTCTCCCTCCCTCTCCCCGCCCCGCTGACCTTTCTTGGCGACCCGGAAGGGCGTCTGGACGGCCCGGGAGGCCAGCTGGGTGATCTCCGCGATCTCCACCTCGCTCTGCAGGGAGGCAAGGAAGCCGGGCAGCTCGCAGGAGGGGGGGGGAGGCGGCCCGATTGACCCCCCCAGCCCTCCCCCTCCCCTCCCCTTCCCGGGCTACTCACTGACCGAGGCCACCCTCTCCAGGGCCTTGTCGCTGCCTCCCAGGGCTGCAAGAGGGAGGGGGAGAGAAAGAGGGGGGGGGGTTAGCGGGCGGGCGGGGGGTCGCGCAAGGCCGGGCGGGGGGGGCTCTTGCGGGGGGGGGTCGAGACCCACCGAGGAAGGTGATCCAGTTCATCTGGCGCAGCGGCAGCGGCAGCCGCAGCACCTCCATGTTGCTCAGGTTCTCCACGTCCTTCTTCAGGCTCTCGCCCGCCGCCCGCACCTGCGCCAGCCGGGACCGCACTGCAAAACAGGCGCGCCGGTCACGGCCCCGGACCTCCGCCGACCCCCACCCCCACGCCCGCCCCGGCCCCGGCCCGCCTCACCCTCGCGGTCGAAGTCCTTCAGGAAGGCGTCCACCCGCTTCTCCCGCGCCGAGGCCTTCGGGCCGCCCCGGCCCGCCGTCGGCCTTTTCCTGCCGGGCGCCATCGCGGAAGCGGAGCCAGCGGAGCCGGCGGCCGTTCAAACTTGGCGCGCGCCCCGCTCGGCCAATCAGGAGGCGGCCCGCCGCGCGGAGGACGGGGGCGTGGCCGAGAGACGCCCGCGCGGCTCCTCCTGCGAGGCCACGCCCCTCACGCCGCCCAGCCGCGCTTTCCACGGGGAGCCCCTCCTGCCCGGGGCGCCCGTGGGCGGGGCATCGAGGCTTTGGGGGGGGGCGGGCGGAAGACCGCAGGGAGGGGCCTCCCGGGGGTGGGAGGGGCCCCTCGGGGGTGGGCGGGGCTTTGGGTCTGGAAGGGGCTCGGGGCGGGGGGCACTTCGGGGGTCTCTGCTTTGGGCGCGCTCGCGTTCAGGCACCTCCGGCGAGAAAAGGGGACCACGCGGAGATCGCCCGCCGGGCTCCTCCTCCGGCCAAGCGGGGGTCTCGCGTGCCCCGGGGGGGATTGGCACCGCCTCCCCTCCCTCCCCCGCCGGCTTGCAGGGGTCGGCAGAGCTCCGGGCCGCGGGGGGTCCAGGAGGGGCGGAGCGCGGGGCCCCCACCCACCCGCCTGGTTGCGCTGCTCGGGCGGGGAAGGGGCGAAAGGGCCGGGGGAGGCGCCCAGACCCCCCCCCCCGCCCCCGGTTCTCTTGCTGCCCGGGAGAAGCCCCCGGGGCTGCGTCGGGCTCGCCGCAGACCTCCCCTACCTCGCCTGTCGGCTCCCCAGAGCTGCAGAAGGGACCTCGGAGGTCGTCTAGTCCCACCCCACCTGCAGGGGGTCATTTAATTCAGCTGCTCCAGCCGAGTTCTGTGGGGCTTGCTGGCCCGCTTTCCTCTGCCTTCCCCCCCCCCCAGCATTCCCGGCAGAGGGGCAGAACCGGATGGGGATGCCATAGCAAGAAGCCCCCCCCCGGGGGTCTCTGTCCCTGGTATCTCGGCCTGCCCCTCTGGGGGCCAGGCTCCCTCGGGGAAGGGCTCCCAGGGCTTGGACGTCTCCCCCTGCCTCCCTCCCCACCCCCCAGGGCCTTGTCTCCTCTGGGGCTTGTCAGGCGCTTGCAGACCTGGGCCTGGCGCTGAAGTGGGCGATGCCAGGGACCGGCTGCCCTTATCAGCCTCTTGCCTGCTCACCCCCTCCACCTCAGCCAGCAGCCCTGCCCCGCCTCCTAAGGCCCCTTCCCTTTGCAGGAACCGTAAGCCCACACTTCCACCTCAGAACACAGACAGTCCTCGAGTTACGGCCACAATTGAGCCCTAGATTTATGTTGCTAAATGGAACCTTTGTTAAGTGAGTTTTGCTCCATTGTACGACTTTTCTTGGCACAGTAGTTAAGTCAGCAACACGGTCCACACTGACTTTGCTGGTCGTAAGTTCGCAAAAGGGGATCACATGGCCCCAGGACACTGCGACCATCATAAATATGAACCAGTGGCCACACGTACGACCACGGGGTGGGGGGTGGGGTGCTGCAACGGTCATAAGTGTGAAATGTGCCTCCTGACAAGCCAAGCCAGGTTCACTTAACAACCGTGTGACTAACTTTGCCATGTTTTGCATAGCAAGAGAAATTTTGGGCTCAGCTGTGGTCATAAGTCAAGGAATAGGAATAGGAACAGAACAGAATAGAATAGAATAGAATTACAGAATAGAATAGAATAGAAATACAGAATAAAATAGAATAGAATAGAATAGGAAATATAGAATAGAATGGAATGGAGTGGAATGGAATGGAATAGAACAGAACACAATAGAATAGAGCAGAATAGAATAGAAAATTAGAATAGAATAGAAATACAGAATAGAAATATAGAATAGAATAGAAATATAGAATAGAAATAAAGAATAGAATAGAACAGAATAGAATAGAAAATAGAATATAGAATAGAATAAGGAATAGAATAGAACAGAATGTAGAATAGAATAGAATAGAATAAGGAATAGAATAGAATAGAACAGAATGTAGAATAGAATAGAATAGAGAAATAATAGAATAGAGAAATAATAGAATAGAATAGAATTACAGAAATAGAATAGAATAAGGAATAGAATAGAATAGAAATACAGAATAGAACAGAATGTAGAATAGAATAGAATAGAATAGAGAAATAATAGAATAGAATAGAATTACAGAATAGAAATAGAATAGAATAGAATAAGGAATAGAATAGAACAGAATGTAGAATGGAATAGAAAATAGAATAGAAATAGAACAGAATGTAGAATGGAATGGAATAGAAAGGAATAGAAAATAGGACAGGATAGGAGCTGGAGTAAGTAAAAGGGAAAGAAGAGTAAAAGGGAAGAAAAGACGTGTGAACAGAAGTAAAACAGGAGAACCATAAAGGGGATCAGTGACAAAGGGAAGACGGTGGGAGAGTAATTCCATCGATCCAATGACCAAAGGGAGCTGGGAGGCTTCGCCCTTTGCTCGCTCCTTCGGTTGAAGTCGGAGGAGGCTTCGTGGAGGCTCAGCGCCAGGAAAGGGTCCCTCTTTAGTATGAAGGCAACGTTTCTATATACTGCAGTGTTGTAAAAGGAACATAATACATTATATTGTTTTGATACAATGAGGAGGGGATGAAATGAGAAGGGGATAAGCCGCCTGGGAAAGCCAAGGGAAATCATCAAAACAATTAAAAAACGAAAATTAGAATATTTCGGACATGTGATGCGACACCCAGAAAAATACGGCATGCTCCATTTAATCCTCCAGGGAAAGATGGAAGGCCAACGAGGTCCAGGCAGAAGAAGAACATCGTGGCTTCAAAATCTAAGGGACCGGTTTGGACAAAACTCAGCAGCACTTTTTCGTGCGGCTGCTGATAAAAACAGGATCGCTAACATGATCGCCAACGTCCGATAACGGATAGGGCAGAAGAAGAAGATATATGTTGAGGAAAGATGGTTAGCCCTGTAAACAGTTTGAACCATTCAAACAAACAAAAAAACAACATTACGCATCTTAGTTAATAAAAGTAGGATTATTTAGGTTTTTTCCAGTCAAAATTGAACGCAATGCAGGAAGTCCTCAACTTACAACAGGCACTGAAAAAAGTGATTTATGACAATTTTTCACACTTAATGACTGTTGCAGCGTCCCCCACGGTCTTGTGATCAAAATTCAGACGCCTGGCGACTGGCTCCTATTTATGACGGTCGTGCTGTGGCCGCGTGATCCCCTTTGGTGACCTGAGAAGCAAAGTCAATGGGGAATTCAAATTCCCTTAACAACCATGTTGCTAATTTAACAAACTCAATGCTTCATTTAACAACTGGGGCAAGAAAAGTCATAAAATGGGGCAAAATGCACTTAACAAATGTCTCACAACAACATAAATTTTGGGCTCAATTATGGTCATAACTTGAGGACTGCCTGTTCTAAATAACTGCTGCAAGTTTCATTAAAGTATTTGTTGTACAGCACAATAAAGCCAACAGTAATGAGCTCATTACTTAATATTAAAATCTCCGTTGCATTCTTACTTAGTATTTCTTACGCATATTGAAAAAGAAAAGTCAAAGCAAATTTGACTGCAATTAAAGTACCAATAGATTAAATAAAGACTTTGCAGTTTCTGACTACCTTCCTTTTTGTGATTCTACTAATTCAGTTTTTATAAACATTTCCACCCCTTAGAAGTCAGCCGTTCTTGCTTAAATTTGGTTAAACTTCTGTTGTGAATATATACTGTGCTGTCAATCCTGCACGTCCTCCAAATTAACTTCCCAGTCAGATATTTTCAGAATTGTGTTTTTCTTTCAACATTGAGCAACATTTATCACAAACAAAACAAATTTAAGTTAAAGATAAAAATAGAAAAGTGGGGGGGGGAAGAGAAAAAGAAGAAAGGAAGAAGAAAGTGGTTTCTGATCAATAAAAATAATCTTCCATGACATTTCCAACATTTATTACTTTATAATTTATCTCAGTTATTATTGATGGAATTGCATACTCTCTATAGTATATTTTGTACCACTTTTAAGTTATCGCTTGGTGTAAATTTTATAGATTATAGTCCATAATTCTTAACAGAATCACAGAGTTGGAAGGGACCTTGGAGGTCTTCTAGTCCAACCCCCTGCTTAGGCAGGAGACCCTACACCATTCCAGAAAAGTGGCTGTTCAGTTTCTTCTTTCAAAGCCTCCAGTGATGAAGCACCCACAACTTCTGGAGGCAACTTCAGTTCCATTTATTAATTATTCTGTCAGGAAATTCCTCCTTAGTTCCAGGTTGCTTCTCTCCTTGATCAGTTTCCATCCGTTGCTTCTTGTCCTGCCTTCTTCAGGTGCTTTGGAGAATAGCTTGACTCCCTCTTCTTTGGGGCAGCCCCTGAGATATTGGAACACTGCTATCATGTCCCCCCTCGTCCTTTTCTTCATTAAACGAGTTCCCTCAACCATTCATCTTAACATTTAGCCTCCAGACCTTTTATTGTTGTGCTTCGCTGGTGGATTTTAACAAGAGACTGGACAGTCACTTGTCTGAAATGGTCTAGGGCAGAGGTCCCCAACCTTAGCAACTTCAAGACCCGTGGACCTCAACTTGATCTCTGGGTGTCCAAGCGTGGCAACTTGAAGACCTGCAGTTGACATGGCTGGCTGGGGAATTCTGGGAGTTGAAGTCCACAAGTCTTAAAGTTGCCAAGGTTGGGGACCCCTGGTCTAGGGTCTCCTGCTTGAGCAAGGGGTTGGACTAGAAGACCTCCAAGGTCCCAGCTCTATTCTGATTGATTGATTGATTGATTGATTGATTGATTGATAGACTCTGGAGATCAAGAGCCTCTTCTCACTGGTAGGCTACGACACTTCCTCTGATGTGCTGCTCCACCTTGGATAGCTCCCCTTCCTCAATTTCCGTTATTGATGCAGTCTTTTGTTCAGTAGAGGTGTCTCTACTTCACCCACCGTAGCCCCCCTTTCGGGGAGGAAGCTGTGTTGAGAGGGAGGAGCTGGCCCAGAATCCCCCTAAGGGACACCCTGAACAGGACTTGCCCATCCCTAGTGGCCCCCTGGCATGGACCCCAACCTTCACCCCACCCCACCTTGGCTTCAACGCCCCTCTTGGGATAGGGGAGCACAGGAGGGAGAAGTAGAGATCCCCCCTATGCTGTGGGAAGGGGACCACCATTCTCTCCTTGTCACAGGAATTACACCCCACGAAGGGGGCGGCTTTGGAAGGGGAGTGGCTTTCCCAGGAGCCTTGCGGAGCTGACCAACAGCCAGGCTGCAGGTGAATTTTCCTGAAGCCCCCAGGCCTGCTGCAGACCCTCGACGCCCCCGCGGTGGCCGGCCGGCCCTGCTCATCCAGGACCAAGGCAGCCCCGAGCCCTAGCCGGGCCCGCCCCGCGGAGCCTGGCCAAAAGAGGCGGGCCCGGCCCAAGGCGGGCGCCGCCGTCCCATCGGCAGCTATCTTGGGCTCCGGCTGGCCCGGCAGGGCCACACCCGACGGGCTCCCCCCCTCCCCCCTCCCTGGCCCAGATCCACCCGCCCCCGGGGCTCCTTTCCCGGCGGGCCGGGCATAAAAGGCCGCCCCGGAGCCGGTTCCGCAGCCTTGGCCGCTTCCTTTTCTTCAGCCCCGACAGCAGCCCCGACAGCAGCCCCCGCCATGGTGCAGTGGACCGCCGAGGAGAAGAGCACCATCAACGCCGTCTGGAGCAAGGTCGACGTG